TTCTAGAGGGAATTAGAATAAAATAAGGATAGCCCCTTCGTACGAAAGGAGTTGGGTATGTTAACCTATGGTTTACCTGTTGTTTATGTGCTTAATATTAATCTTCAATAGTTATGAAAACTTTTGATAGATAAAAGATGATTTCAATTTATTAGGAAGTATTTATTATTTCTTTTTAAAGTCAGCTTTAAAGGTATTACTTTTACTTAAGTAACTATTTATAGCATAGGCATGGCAGGAAAGCTACGTTAGTTAGAAATAAGTGCTGAATGCATATAGGCATGAAATTTACCTTAGGATATTCTTAAAAATATGTGGTATAATACTACATCTATGACTATATTTATTTCGGTTTATATTATTTATTTTTATAAATGTATAACTAGTGTTAATAATTTTAATGTGAGAATTAAATATAGACGGAAATAGGCTTTAACTGAAAGAGTTTTGATGCTTTAAGGTATAAAGTACTAATTATTATTACAAACTACTTAATACACTTATCATTATCAATAAGCCCGGTTAGCATAAAAGTAATGTGACCGTTTTGTAATCGGTTGAAGTAAGTGCAATACTTGCACTGGGCTCTTTTTTTATTTTAAATACAAATTTTTGTATTTAGTTTATACAAATAAAAAGCGGATTAATGTAATCAGTAACATAATTGGCTCATGCCCAATTTATAAAGGTGCAAACCCTTTATCCGCATCATTCATTAAATTTAAGGCTATAGCTTAATTGGTAAAGCAAGCTGCTCATGATAGCTCAGATGAGTGTTCAACCCACTCTGGCCTTAAAGTATTTATTTATTTTTATAACGAGTTAGTATGTAAATATCCGAGTGCTGGAATTGGTAGACAGGATAATCTTAAGATTTATTGATATAATATCGTGAACGTTCAAGTCGTTTTTCGGATACTTTAAAGACCCAATCGTCAAGTTGGTTAAGACATAACTCTTTCACTGTTACATCGGGGGTTCAAGTCCTCCTTGGGTTATATAAAATAAAAATGTAGTGTACAAGGGAGTATAATAGATTAAATGTATCGATATAATGGAAGTAATAGTATTATAAAGATAACAATGTATAATAACTAGTACTAGTACATCAAATTTAATACTATAAGGGGACATAGTTTAATTGGTAAAACTGTGATTTTGCATATCATTATCCTAGGTTCGATTCCTAGTGTCTCCAAAATAAGCTCAATAAGCTCAATTGGTTGAGCGGAACTCTGAAGATGTTTAGGTTATAAGTTCGAATCTTATATTGAGCAGAAAGCAAACATATCATTAATAAATTTAAATTTTACATGGATATGCTGGAATTGGTAGTCAGGTCCCGCTTAGGACGGGATGGTAATAACCATACAAGTTCAAGTCTTGTTATCCATACACAAAGCCAATCATGTTTAGAGATTGTTTTTTAAGCTGTGTGTAGTGTCAACCACAACATGATATTAATCATAAACTAATGTATTTAGCAGGAGTGTTAAGTATGATTACATATGTCGTAGACTAATGGTAAGTCGTAAATTTTTGGTGTTTAGATATGGGTGTTCGACTCACCCCGACATAAATATGAAAAATACATAAAATTCTAGGTATTTCTACGTTTTAGTATATATGCATCTAATAAACATGGAAATTTGTTGCAGCCTTAATATTTATTATTAACCAAATAATTCTTATTAGCTTAATGGTAGAGCAGGATACTTCTAATATCTGGATATAAGTTCGATTCTTATATAAGAATACATTATAAGCATAGATTAAATATATAGGTGGATATAGCTCAATGGTAGAGCAACTGTATGTGGCACAGTAGGTTTTCTGTTCAACCCAGAATATCCTCCCATAACGTTTTTCAGCCAGGATAGTTCAATTGGTTAGAACATTAATTTCATGCATTAAGAATGAGAATTCAAGTTTCTCTCCCGGCTATTAAGGAATATTGACTTAACGGTAGAGTATTTATTTTATAAATAAGTTGGCCTAAGTTTAAATCTTGGAGGTCCTTGTAGACTTAACAACTGTTCTTACAAGTGTATCCAGAGACCATAGTTTAATGGTAAAACATGTGCCTTTTAAGCATTAGCATCTGGGTTCAACTCCCAGCGGTCTTATTTACTGTCTAACTTTTAAATAAAATACCTTAAAATTTTAATTATATTATTAATTTATTATGTATAATGAATACATACATAATACACAGTCCATTAGATCAATTTGAAATTAGAGATCTAATAACATTAAACGCCCCTCTTTTAGGTAATTTACATTTATCTTTAACAAACATAGGACTTTACTTAATAATAGCATCATTTATAGTTTTTGCTTTAACTGTTATTGCTACTAACTTTAATAAAGTTGTTTCAAACAACTGATCAATATCTCAGGAATCAATGTATGCTACAATCCATGGTATAGTAGTAGGTCAAATAAATGAAAAAAATGGTCAAATTTATTTTCCATTTATGTACACACTTTTTGTATATATATTAATAAATAATTTAATAGGAATGGTTCCTTATAGTTTTGCTACTACAAGTCATTTTATATTAACATTTGCACTTAGTTTTACAGTAGTGATAGGTGCAACTATTTTAGGTTTCCAAAAACATGGTTTAAAATTTTTCTCTTTATTTGTGCCAGCTGGTTGTCCTTTAGGTTTATTACCTTTATTGGTGTTAATAGAATTTATATCATATTTAGCTAGAAATGTGTCATTAGGATTAAGACTAGCTGCAAATATATTATCAGGTCACATGCTGCTTAACATATTAAGTGGTTTTACATATAATATTATGACATCTGGTTTAATATTCTTTGTTTTAGGACTATTACCATTAGCTTTTATTATAGCCTTTTCAGGTTTAGAATTAGCAATAGCATTTATACAGGCACAAGTTTTTGTAGTATTATCTTGTAGCTATATCAAAGATGCATTAGAATTACACTAATATAAACTTTTATATCATTTTATGTTATACTTTTAGCATAGTATAAAAAAAAAAAAAATATTTTTTTTTTTATCTTTGTCTTCAATGTTTATGTTTAAGTTTAGATATTTTAAATATACAAAATACATTCATCTTTCAAGAAAAGTGTGATGCTCCTAGACCCTGAGGGCTTTATTTCCAAGACAGTGCTAGTCCACAAATGGAGGCAATAGTAGAACTACATAATAATATTATGTATTACCTATTTATAATATTGTTTGGTGTAGGTTGAGTATTAGTTTCTATAGTAAGAAATTATGTAAGCAAAAAAAACTTAATAAGTAACAAATACCTAAATCATGGTACACTAATAGAATTAATATGAACAATAACACCAGCAATAATCCTGATATTAATAGCATTTCCATCTTTCAAGTTACTTTACCTAATGGATGAAGTAACTGACCCAAATCTAACAGTTTTAGTTGAGGGACATCAATGATACTGAAGTTACCAATATCCAGATTTTTTAAACACAGATGAAGAATTTATAGAATTTGATTCATATTTAGTTCCTGAATCAGATCTAGAAAAAGGATCATTAAGAATGCTAGAAGTTGATAACAGAGTTATCTTACCGGAACTAACACATGTTAGATTTATCGTAACAGCAGCAGATGTAATACATTCTTGAGCTATGCCTAGCTTAGGGATTAAATGTGATGCATATCCAGGTCGTTTAAACCAAACGTCAACTTTAGTTAACAGAGAATCAACAATGTACGGGCAATGTTCAGAAATATGTGGAATACTACATAGTTCTATGCCAATAGTGATTGAATCACTATCACTTGAAAAATATCTGACATGACTAAATGAACAATAATTTAATAAAACAAATAAAAAAAAAAATATTTTTTTTTATTTAATTAAAAGGGATATGTGTATAAGGTTATACCTTTTGATTGCAGATCATTAAGTTAAAGTTCAATTCTTTCGTATCTCTACAAATAACAAAGCTTACATAATATAGAAAAAAAAAACAATCTAATTGTTACATTTAGTTTTTTTGATTAATATATATAGTGCAAAAATTTCGCTTTGAACTGAAAGATGATTTTTATCTTCAAATGCTAAAGATATAGGAACATTATACTTAATATTTGCTTTATTTTCAGGACTTTTAGGAACTGCATATTCTGTATTAATAAGATTAGAATTATCAGGACCAGGTGTTCAATATATAGCAGATAATCAATTATATAATGCTATTATAACAAGTCATGCTATTATAATGATATTCTTTATGGTTATGCCAGCATTAATAGGAGGATTTGGTAATTTTTTATTACCATTATTAGTAGGAGGACCAGACATGGCTTTCCCTAGACTTAATAACATAAGTTTTTGATTATTACCACCTAGCCTTATTTTATTTTTATTTGCTAGTGGTATAGAAAATGGAGCAGGTACAGGATGAACTCTTTACCCTCCATTATCGGGAATTCAAAGTCACAGTGGACCAAGTGTAGATTTAGCTATTTTTGGTTTACACTTATCAGGTGTAAGTAGTTTATTAGGTGCTATGAATTTCATAACAACAATCTTAAATATGAGAAGTCCAGGTATAAGACTACATAAATTAGCTTTATTTGGATGAGCAGTAATAGTTACTGCTGTATTATTGTTATTATCTTTACCAGTATTAGCAGGTGCTATAACTATGGTATTAACAGATAGAAACTTCAATACATCATTCTTTGAAACTGCAGGTGGTGGAGATCCTATACTATATCAACACCTTTTCTGATTTTTTGGACACCCAGAAGTTTATATATTAATAATACCAGGTTTTGGTATTATTAGTACTACTATTTCAGCTAGCTCAAATAAAAGTGTATTTGGTTATTTAGGAATGGTATATGCTATGATGTCAATTGGAGTACTAGGATTTGTAGTTTGAAGTCACCATATGTATACTGTAGGTTTAGATGTGGATACTAGAGCATATTTTACAGCGGCTACACTTATAATAGCTGTACCTACAGGTATTAAAATATTCAGTTGATTAGCAACATGTTATGGAGGTTCATTATACTTAACACCATCTATGTTATTTGCTCTAGGATTTGTATTTATGTTTACTATAGGAGGATTAAGTGGAGTTGTACTAGCAAACGCATCTTTAGATATAGCATTTCATGATACTTATTATGTAGTTGCGCATTTCCACTACGTATTATCTATGGGTGCTGTATTTGCCTTATTTAGTGCATGATACTACTGAATACCTAAAATACTGGGACTAGAATACAACATGCTGATGGGTATAGTACACTTCTGAATTCTATTCATTGGAGTTAATCTAACATTTTTCCCTCAACACTTCTTAGGACTTCAAGGAATGCCTAGAAGAATTAGTGATTATCCTGACGCATTCGCCGGTTGAAATCTTGTAAGTAGTTTCGGATCTATAATATCTGTAGTGGCTACTTGATTGTTCTTATATAATCTATACGTGCAATTAGTAGAAGGTAAAGCTACATCAAGATATCCTTGATATACTCCTCAATTTTTCACTGACTTCTTACAAGCTTTATTAAATAGAGCTTATAGTAGTTTAGAGTGATGTTTAAATAGTCCACCTAAACCTCACGCATTCACTAGCTTACCTTTACAAAGTTAAATTGTATAGAATCTAAAAAAAAAAAAAGAAAAAAAAAAAGTCTTTTTTATAAATTTTTAAGAATATATTCATTGCTTTATACCATGCTTTTACTTTTACATATGCGATCTAAAGTAAATATTTTATATATAAAAGTTTACTTTTATAGTGAAACACCTATCGCTAAAAATAATGATTTCAGCTTTACATATGTTATTTGTATATAATGCAAATTAACATAAAACAAGCACAATAACATTCGAACTTTTACATAGTTATTTTTATAAACACAAATTCGTTATCACTCTTGAACAAAGCCAGAAACTTTACATTAAGAGTAAAAAAAAATTTTTTTTTTTAAATACTATGTTAAGAAAAAGATTAAATATAATTATAAACTAATTAAAATTATAAATAATAAACATTACATTTTTTTTTTAATGAGAATACTTAAAAGTCACCCCCTTTTAAAGCTTGCAAATTCATACGTTATTGATTCTCCTCAACCATCGAACTTAAGTTATTTATGAAATTTTGGTTCATTACTAGCATTTTGTCTAATTATACAAATAGTTACAGGTGTAACTTTAGCAATGCATTACAACCCTAGTGTATTAGAAGCATTTAATTCAGTTGAACATATAATGCGTGATGTAAATAATGGGTGATTAATACGTTATTTACATTCAAACACTGCTTCAGCTTTTTTCTTTTTAGTTTACCTACATATAGGTAGAGGTCTATACTATGGATCTTACCGTGCCCCAAGAACATTAGTATGAACTATAGGAACAGTTATATTTATCTTAATGATGGCTACAGCCTTTTTAGGATATGTATTACCTTATGGTCAGATGTCATTATGAGGTGCAACAGTTATAACTAATTTAATGAGTGCTATACCTTGAGTAGGACAAGATATAGTAGAATTTATTTGAGGAGGTTTTTCTGTTAATAATGCTACTTTAAATAGATTTTTCTCACTACATTTTGTTTTACCATTTGTTTTAGCTGCATTAGCTTTAATGCATTTAATTGCATTACATGACAGTGCAGGATCTGGAAATCCATTAGGTGTATCAGGTAACTATGATAGATTACCTTTTGCTCCTTACTTTATATTTAAAGATTTAATAACTATATTTATGTTTATCTTAGGTTTATCAATTTTTGTTTTCTTTATGCCTAATGTTCTAGGTGATAGTGAAAATTATGTTATGGCTAACCCTATGCAAACTCCACCTGCTATAGTTCCTGAATGATATCTATTACCATTCTACGCTATATTAAGATCTATACCAAATAAATTATTAGGTGTTATAGCAATGTTTTCTGCTATATTGATATTATTAGCTATGCCATTTACTGATTTAAGTAGATCAAGAGGTATACAATTCAGACCATTAAGTAAAATAGTGTTCTACATATTTATAGCTAATTTCTTAATATTAATGATTCTAGGAGCCAAACATGTTGAAAGTCCATTTATAGAATTTGGGCAAATAAGTACAGTATTATA